GCCCACTTCCCACCCTCCCCACCTCCCCCTTTCCCAGGACCCTGACCTCCGGGAGAGCAGGCGGTTCCCCTTCCGGCCACCAGAGGCCAGATTTCACATTCCTGTGACCTGAGCTTTGGCTGAAGGTCGCTCAGCCTCTTGGCACCAGCTCCAGGGGCCTCTCCTGGCCTCCAGGGAGCAAGGGCCTGGCCTTCCCTCTCCCTGTGCGCTCTGGGTGGGAAGGTCTGTCCAGACAAGTGCTTGCCACCTATCTATCTCTCTCTATATATATAAGTCTGTAAGTAAGGATAAAGATGTGCTCTAGACCTGGATATAGATGCATCTTAGTGGTTCCAGTTCTCCGGAGAACCTTAATACATTGGTGAAACTGGAATGAAATAGAGTTCAGTTAATAATAATGCATCATTGTTGGTTCATTAATCGTGACAAATGTACCATAATAACATGAAATGTTGATAATAGGAAGCAACTTCTCTGTACATTTAAAACTGTTCTAAAATCAAAAACTTCTATTTTAAAATATGTTGAATTCCTCTATACATTTAAGTGTATTTTACGAGTAACTACTTTACAAGAAGACCACTAAAACAATGTTATGTTTATTTATTTTAATGTGAATAATATAATAATCTCAGAAAGTGCTAGGAAACTATGAAATTCACAGCTTATATGAAATATAGAGAAATACAGAATTAATATATGATTTAAAATAAAAAATGAAAAAAAATATTACCTAGGTGGCAAAACTTATAAGGGCAATATTTTTAAATGATTACAAGAAATTTCAATAGTTATATCTTATAAATAATAACATAAACTTGCTTTATATGAATTTTTTTTTTATGAGGAGCCCGCCATAAGGTGGAGAATATAGGGTGTCCCCAAAAATGTACACACACACTTTGAATAATTATAAAAGCAGTGTTTGTTAAGATACATTTCATTTTCAAAATGTAATAGAACCAGCTGCTAAAGTGTTTGTACATTTTTGGGGACAACCTGTATGTTAGTATATTTGACTGGATTAACATTTTATGCTATACTGCTAGAACGCCACTAGATGTCAATCTTTCCCATCTTTTGTCACTGAAAGCCATGCCAGATGGATTTTAATGTGCTTTTGTTGCTATTTGCAAAATGTAGGATGTAGTGAAGATTCATTTCAGTGCAGATGCAGAATCCTGTCTAGATAGGAAATCATTTTTACAGCGGGCAATATCTAGTATGCACAGCCAGCAGAAAGCATCCAGATGCTAACACGCACCATGGATGAATGCTCTCACTCCTGCAGGCAAACAGGGTCCCAGAACTACATACCTTACTTCTCAACTCACAACTGCCTGAAAGGTGGCTACTTTTTTGTACAGGAAAGCAATATTAAGTTACCAAGGGCAAACACTTTTATATAGATCTGTTCAGTCTGACTTCAAAAGCTTACCCTTTTTAAGATTCATCTCAGATCTTATTTGCAGATTTCTGCTCTCAAGTTCCTTTTTCATAAGATGTTCTATGACCATCTATAGTCGATTTATCAAATATCCTATATAATAAAAGGCTAATATGCAAATAGACCGAACAGCAGAACAACCGAACATTTGGTCACTATGACATGCACTGACCACCAGGGGGTGCAAGTGGGGCCGACACCGTCAGCTCATGGGAGTGGTGGTGGTGGGAGCAGGGCTGCTGGCAGACAGGGGACTGGGGTCCACAGCATGAGGGGCCAGGTGGTGGTGCGGAGGATGGGCTGAGACCTGCCCCTGTGCCTACTGCAGCCTTATAGCCCACAGTTCCTTTCAAGGTGCACGAATTCATGCACTGGGCCCCTAGTGTTCTATAACAATATTCGCTAACATTTCTTTAACACTTGCCATATCCCAGGCCATTTTAAACACCGTTGTTAGTGCATTTAAGCTTCATAATAATTCTTTGAAGGGTGAAAGACTGTTAGTAGCATTCTACAGATTTGTAAACTGAGGCACAGAGAAGTTGATGGTTTGGCAGAGCCACAGTCTAGCTTAGGCCGTTGGTGACAGACCTTACACCATACTTCTATGTAGGGCACCCCCTGCAAAGCCCCTGCCAAAAATACCGAGAAGCTAATGCTCACTATATTTAGCAAATAATAAAAAATAGTTTTAAAATTTAGAGGAATTTAGCTGTATCTAAAAAGAGATAGCAGCAGGAAAAATTATTAGATTTTTAATGTGAAGAGTAAAATACTTAGAGTCCTAAGTAATCTATGTGGTCTACAGCTTATATAAAATTGTAGAAGGATAAAGAATTAGTATATTATTCAAAACAAAACACCTATATTGATTATTTAGAAACATAACAACTTCAAAATGGGTGCTGAAATATATCCAGGACAATAATTATTAGGTGAGATCATAGGAAATTGCCAGTAGTATGCTGTTTTGAACCAGAAAACAGAAACTTTATGTTACAATCTTATACCTTGGATAAATGGGTTCAATAACATTTGTTAACATTCAATATTTTTTCTCACTTTTAAGCATTTACTTTATGATACATTTATCAGTAGAAAGTGAAAGAAAGAATATATATCTATAATAATAAAAGCATAATATGCTAATTAGACGATACAGCCGAACGACCTTCCGAACACCATTCCGGACATCCTTCTGGATGAAGCTGCAGAGGCGGGGGGCAAAGAAGAGGTGGTTAGGGGCGATCAGGCAGGCAGGCAGGTGAGCAGTTAGGAGCCAGCAGTCACGGATTGCGAGAGGGATGTCCTGCAGGATCGGGCCTAAACTGGCAGTCGGACATCCCCCGAGGAGTCCCAGATTGTGAGAGGGTGCAGGCTGGGCTGAAGAACACCTCCTCCCCAGCCCCGCGTACGAATTTTGTGCACCAGGCCTCTAGTAATTAAATAAAAACCCACAAACAATCCAAAAACTGTTTTATAAATATTTTTATAAAGAATTTATCAGGCTTTCAAAGTAAAAACAGCCCCTAATTCTATTCTATGAAGAGTTCAATTTCCCAAACTGCAACATCAAAATAGTCAAATTTTCCCCAAAAAATGTTTTTTAATATTTGATTTCATTTATTCTTTTAATTAGTAGAGCAGAAAACAAAGACCTTGTAATAATTGACAGATCAGTATAATGTGTCAATTTCATTTTATGGGTTAAAGTCTGCTAGGTCTGATATTATAAAAGCTACGCTAGCTTCCTTTACATTAGAATTTTCACTTCATCCATACAATTATATTCAACCTTTCTGTATTCTTACGTTTAAACTGTGTCATTGATAAACAATATAAAGTTGTTGCTTACAGCTTACATTCAGAGGAGATTAAATTTGCCTCTACAGCAGACTGGGCTGGGAGCTCTAGGCATCCAAATCACCATAATCCAATAAAAAATTAAGACGATTTCAATCTGGGGTTAGGTCTCTCTTAGACTGGTCTCTTTCCATCTCATCCTAACTCCTTGTGTGTGTGTGTGGGGAGGGGGGTGTTCTGTTCATTGTCTAGCTTTTCTACTTACCACTCAGGTGGTGGTTGGTCTCAAACTATCTAGTCTGTCATTACTGGAAATAAAAGTAAGGAAAGTTTTGTAGTGAAATATTTTACAATGTGTGATATAAGTCACCATTCATCTCCCAAGAAAATCTTTAATAAAATATACATTCCCCCTCCCCCCCCCCAATGCTTTTAATGCAAGAATAACTTACTAATGCTCTCTGGTGAAAATAGGGTTGCATCCTGCTTCCTGGTTAGCCTGAGACAAAAATAGGATTCCAACTGGAACAAGTATATGGATTAAGAGTGTATTTGGGATGGGAGTACCAGCACACACACGAGACGCTCAGCTCAAAGTGTCTCATAATTTTAGCTAGCTAGTTCAGACAACAAATTCTAAAAATGGAACTTATGTTGCGCAAGGTCAGCTACTGTCATTGCTTTGCATAAAAAGGTGGTTTCATAACAAAAGACAAGAAAGTGACACATATTTGCTATTTGCATAACTTTGAAACCTCATTGTAAGAAATTCAAGTTAGTGATTAATTTAAAAATTGTCACTTTTATGAATCTTTAAAACAAATACTTTGTTAGTTTTAGATTATCAAAATCCCATCATTTATGTTAGAAATCAATAAGCAAGAGAGATACAAATTGTTAAATATTATGTGAAAGAAATATACTCATTGGATGAACATAATATAAGGGCCTGGCAAGGATTACAGTTGTAGATATTTAATTATAAGGCGTCTTCTAGAGTGTATTTGGGATGGGAGTACCTAATTAGAAATGTCTAATTAGGGAAATTCTAATGTGCAGGTATATTCTTTCCTCTTGCAAAGGCCATAGCTAATTTCTTATGCTCCATTTTTTTTTCTAGTAAGACATGTTTGCTCATTACTGCCTTACTAGAATGAATAAAATATTTGATTTGCTATTAAATAATAAACTAGAGTTGGCTAAACCAATGCTTTATTTTAAGTAAGTCATGCATTTTATGCTAAAATTCATTTGTTGTCTGTACTTCAAGTGGATAAAATTAAGCTTTAAATTTGGTTTTATCAGTATTAATAGGAATATTATTCTGAGGAAGTTAGTTTTAGGTTACCTATTATCATAATTTTTATTTTTCAAAATTATTTTAATTGGAAAGTACAATTTTTTAGAGTAGTTCTGCTACAGGAAAAATACCACCAACTACCTTAGAAGTAGATTTTACTTTTCATTACCATCTTAAATAATTTGTTAAAAAACAAACTACTTGGTTACACATATTGTGGATAATATACTGCCTGCATTTGCTTCTTACATTTCCCACAGATTAGCCATGTGAAATTAGACCAATTGTTTTCCTTTCCGATCCTCAACTTTTTCATCTGTAGAATGAAATAACATTCCTACCTTGTATGTTTGGGGGATTCATGATCATGTCTACAGATGCATGCAGCATCTGGCAACTAGTAGATATGGAAAAGCCAGCTGTTATTTTAAATGCTAAGAAGCTCACATTTGTACCATAATACATATTTCAGCAATGCTCATGTCAGTCAGTGAAATGTGATTACAAACATGTCAAATTTAGTAAGTAAAACGAAAGTCTGACTGATGTAGGCCTTTTCTTGAAACTATCACCTTCTTTATAATATACCAGAGGCCCGGTGCATGAAATACATGCACGGGGGCAGGGGGTGTCCCTCAAACCAGCCTGTACCCTCTCCAATCCGGGATCCCTCGGGGGATATCCAACTGCCAGCAGTAAGATATCCCTCCCACAATCCAGGACCACTGGCTCCTAACCACTCACCTGCCTGCCTGCCTAATGCCCCCAACTGTCCTCCCCTGCCCACCTGGTTTCCCCCAACGGCCCTCCCTAATTAGACGTCAGACATCTGGAAGATGGCTGGTCGACCTGGTCTAATTAGTATATTACCCTTTTATTAGTATAGATAGATTATATAGGATAGGATTG